GACTTCTTATATACTGAAAAATAATTATAGAAACTGCTTAACAACGGACACCTCCAGCAGCTACCTCCCTTCATCTGTTTGCCTGAGTACCCCGTACCTCCAAGGTGCTGGTTATCATCAATCTTCTCTTTCCTCACTAGCCACCTCTTCACAAAGCAAAGCAGCCCAAGAAGCCCTCTTCATTAGAGCATTGTGCCAAGCACAAATAAATTCTCATTTCACTATCAAGATGAAAGATTAAACATGGTAGTGAGTATATTTTAACATTCCCAACATGAAAATAAGTAAGTTTCAATTGTGATACTAAAGATGGTAATATTTACTTCATTCATAATTGAAAGACACATTCAAAATAATTCATTTTGGGAACACTAGTATGTAGTACTGGCCTGAAACAAATTATGCAAATATTTACATCTTGTGATTTATTCGAATGCTTTTTAATCTCTCATTTCCTTAACTAAATTAGCTAAAAAGAGAAATATATGACCAAAAAATGAATGTCCATCATCTAAATTAGTATATAGTAAACTGATCTTTCAAACTATAAGATCCAAGAGGGGCAGAGTTCTATCCCTGCTTTAAAGGAATACTGCCTATTTTAACAGACTCTGAGGGTTTGATGGTCTCATTTAGATATTCATGCGTCTATAGAAGCTAGCACAAAATACACTGGTGGCAAGCAGCTAATTCATTAATTAACCAAATTATTTTTGAAGAAAAGATAGCACTAAACACAGTACTGAAAGTGCAGTTGTGGTTGTCTGAGGTCCGTCTGCAAAATGTGTGGTAAAAACAAGCAATGCCTATGCTGTTTCTAATTATTCCAATTATCATGGCACACTATGAAAACTTGATTAATAACACTGAAGATATTGTTGTGGCAATTAGCCATATGGTTGTGGGACTTTATTCTGTCACGATTTAGCCATTAGCATCTACTTATGTTTGTCAGAACAGTGCATCCGTGACAAGTTGAAGTTCTGCTCACCTTGCCAAGTCCCCTGTGAGCAACACTAGAGAACTGTTTATTCCTAGGAGCCTCTTGCCTGAGTAAATTTTTCATGTGGCATCCGGTCTGACTGGGAACAAATGTCAAATAACTTATCTGATGACCCATCAAGCCAAGCTTTCTTTGAAAAACCACTTAGTGACATGTGTGTCTAAACAAACTAACTGAAGAAATTTTATTTGGCCAGTAATAGCTGGTCATCTATATTGCCCCACATATTCCCATGGTCAGTAATTAGGGAAACTGATCTTCATATATCGATATATAGAAATCTATAAATACAGCATTTGAAAAGATATATCTGTACCTATGTACACACACAGGCAATATAGCAAAAAGTGTACTGCCTATAGTATTTTTGCATGACATTTGCAGTGAATTTATTCAAGAAAATTGAGAAGATAATCCTTTTAATTATGAGTGAGGAGAACATTTTAAGGAAAAAGAGAAGTAAAGATATTAGTCAGTTTCTAAAATTAATGCTAGGGTAAACACATACCTTGAAATAGAAGTTTAAAAAGATCAATTAAGAAAAACTAAGTTTACATTTTGAAAGGGAATTAATGTTAATGTGAGAAATACAGCACTATATGTTTGCTTAATTAATTAGCTAATTAATTAATTTTTAAAAGATAAAGCTTTGAAATACTTGCCAGCAATAGGCAAATTTGCCAGTTTTTCTTAGAAGCTAGAAGAATGGTAAACAGTTCCCACTGTGTTTACAAACCCTTAAGGCAGCCCAGAGCTCCCCATATGGAAGTGATGGGTACTGGGGGGTATAGCAATACAAGAGGGAGGTAGAAAGAGTTCTGTGTTTCCATTTCATGTTTGGGTCCCCTCTACACTGGGAATGGCTCACAACACAGGGTTATAAGCAGTTACCCAGGTCTTGCCTGCAAATGTTCAGTTTAAGAAGTTCACAATGAGAGGCAATTAGAAGACAGTGTGTTTCCGTGATATAACCACACTGGGCAAGTAGGGCCAGCCTTTAGACAATCAGGAGTCTGAAATCCCCAACAAAGTAGGCTCACATATAATTCCACCTGCTACACCACAGGTAGGGAGGTGGCAACAGCAGTGCTGGGGTACCGCCATGGCTGAGGGGCTGTGCACATACAAGGCCTGTGAGTGAGATTAAGGTTTCATTGGCCTCTACTATATCAATTATTGATTCAGAGTAAGCTTATGGAGGAAGTACATGTCTGGAAAATGGTAAATACAGCCAAGGGTTGTCACTGTAACTTAACAAAAATATCGTTTCATGTTAGGAAACTGACTTCAAGTGTTGTCCCCTGGAGTTTCCAAATTTTCCTAATGGCAGCTGAAAGAACTGAGGGATTATTAAGAAGGATATGTCACCATAATGAAATTTAGAGTCAATGATGGGATAGAGTGGACTAGCTTCCTTCCCAGTGATCTAAGGAATTTTATCTAAATAAAATTCATACATTTATAAAATAAGTACAGCTGTGTGTCTAGAACGCTTCTATCAGTAATCCATGTCTCTGGTACTTTCTTAGTCACCACTGGGTCATCTCCTTGCAGATAAACTCCTGAACAAACAGGCACTGGCTTCTGCAACTTACAACTTTCTGAAAATGTCACATTAATATTTACAGAAGTCCCTCAATTTTGCATAATGAATCCATTGCAATAATTTTATTTTTAGAAACATATGTAGGCAAATATTTTCTGCATATTCTAAAACTGTATTTTCCTACAAAATAATCTGTCTTGTTATACTAAATAACAATGGCTAACACTTATTTGAGTGATTACTATGTTGAGCACTTCACATGTAGCTCTTTATTATTCTGAATTCTTAAAAGGTATTATCCTCATCTTGCAGATGAGAAAATGCAGCCTGGAGATGCCAGTTACTTTTGTGAGGTCACACAGAGTAAGAGGTAGAGTTGGGATTCAATTTTAGGGAGGCTGACTCATATTCTTAATCACTGTTCTATAGTGCCTTCTAATGATTTAAATACGGTAACACTTTTAGACTACTACATTTAAATGACGAGAAGTAGTTGGGAATACATTAATAGAACATTAAAAATAATGGCAAAACAAATGTTCGAGCTGAAAATTTCAGTATGAATTAACAATACATTCAAACTTAATTCTTGTGACCCAGAGCTCAACATTTTACCTCTCTCACACCCCAACTTCTATAGTGGCAAGTACTCCTAGTCTTTAAGCCCTACCTCTTCCTATCTCCAATACAGCATTCTTTGCTTTATAGTTACCACCCCCACTCCAATTCCACTGCTACTGACCTTATCATTTCTTAATAAATGCTCCATCAGCTTTCTAACTAGTCTCTCTGCTGCCATCTTATTTGGGTCCATTCTGCAGCCACAGTTATCTTTCTAAGATATAAATATGACCAGTTCTGTCCTGCACTGCTCACCTTATGAATCCCTTTGTGCGCATCTAAAATACTATCGGCCGGGCGCGGCAGCTCACGTCTGTAATCCCAGCACTCTGGGAGGCCAAGGCTGGTAGATCACGAGGTCAGGAGTTCAAGACCAGCCTAGCCAAGACGGTGAAACCCTGTCTAACTAAACATACAAAAATTAGCCAGGCATGGTGGTGGGTGTCTGTAATCCCAGCTACTTAGGAGGCTGAGGCAGAGAATTGCTTGAACCCAGGAGGTGGAGGTTGCAGTGT